CCTACAACTACACCCAATTAATTTTTATATTTTTATAGAGACGGGGTTTCACCATGTTGGCCAGACTGGTCTTGAACTCCGGACCCCAAGTGATCCGCCTGCCTCAGCCTCCCAAAGTGCTGGGATTAGACGCGTGAGCCACCGCGCCTGGCCGGTCTTTTCATTTCTACCTTCTACTGTGGCTAACTCAGAGTTGGTACTGAGGAGACAGTTTAACGAATAGATGAACATATCTTTTATGGCCATTTTGCATTCCTCAAAATGTATATATAAATGGACTATACAGAAATTAAACAAAAGACTTAAATGTCCTGAAGGACTAAAAATATTACAACAGTTTTACTGCTGAAACTGTTATTGTTACAACAAAATAAAGGATCTCTAGGAAAGTGTTTCTGAGAGTACATATAATATATAGTTTATGATAAATGTGTATCATAGTTTATAAAACATATCACATAGTTTATCACAAATGAGATGATGACAGGTATCATTCGATAGCTCCAAACTGGAAAGTCTTCAGCTTCAATGAGATGCCCACGGGACTTTGTCAGTAGCGTTCAGTTGTGAAAAAATCTCCAAAAATGCATTTGAAATGCTAGAATAGATCATTAAAAGTGAGGTAAAGGGACAGAGGAAAAAAACAAATATTTAAAATTATAGATTGAGATCAGTATGAGAATGTTGGGAGTCCTTAAATAATTTAAGATAAGGCTGTGAGTTTGTACATATTATTGTTTGTAATATATAATTGTTGGGACAAGGGAGAGGGGCAAGTGATAGGTGATAATCAGGAAGAGAAACATGGAGAGCTTCAGTTATGGATAATGTTATAATTAAAGAATTTCTTTTTTCTTTGACACATATGCAGAGGATCATAAAAGTAACATTATAATTCTTAGGGTGGGTGGTAAGAGATGAGAGAACCATGAAGATACCATCTAAGCTGGACTTTGAATTAAGACAGGAAAGTCAAGGTTGGCAAGAGCCAATGATAGAGGAAGCATGAGATAAAAATGGAAAAGTAGATTAGGATGATGCTGTAGCAGCAATGCTCAAAAGACAGTGAAATGGGAATTGGAAACCCTGAAATCTCAACCATGGTTCTGCCACTCAATTTGCAATTAACCGTGAACATATCCTAAAGCTAAATCTGAATAAGTATTCTACAAAATAATATAAAAGGCAACTTACTCAATATCTTTTCGTACTGATCCCATGAGATTCTCCCTTTCCCGTATTGCCATAAAGTTTGCTTTGGTTTTATGGAATTCATGTGTATAATCCTGTAATAAATCAACATCCAGTCTCAACAGAAGTTAATTAAGGATTTTCATCTCACTGAACCAGTTATGCATTATCATCACACTGTAAATTTGTCAAGAAAACTGCTATTTAAAAAATTAAATTAACCAAAGGTAAAAATAACTTTAAAATTACTTTGCTGAAGAGTGACCAACTTCTTTCAAATGAAAATAATTCAGTGCTAGGGAAACAGAGCCGTTAAATCACTCTCCTTTGTACCTCCTAGTACTTTGTCTTATGAGAGAGAATTAAGAAGAAAAAAATTCTGACATAAAATAACTTCAAATAGTCTAGGAGAAAACTTGAGAGGCTCTTTCTACTTAACAGTAAACGTAACAGAGTTTATTTTCAAAGTTCATCATTTTGGAGCTCTCACAAAAAATTTAATTCCTAAACAAAAAAGAATCAAGAGAACTGTAAGGAACAAAATAATCTTTAAACATTTTCTATTATTTTTGTACCACTGTTAAAAGATATTAAGAATATTCACTACTTTTCATAAATTCGGAGACGTAGATAAAGAAGAAAATAAAAGTCTTGTCTCCCACAGAGTCCCTGTTGACCTTTTAAAAAACAGAAGTAACACATAAACACGGAGGAGAATATTAAAAGAGCACCAAAAGAAATAAAGGTGAAACAAAGGAAAACAAACATTCTGCTCCATCCCTCATCACTGTTACCATCATTTTGCATTTTCTTCCAGGAAATTATTATTTTCTTTCTTTTGGAGACAAGAGTCTTGCTCTGTCACCCAGGCTGGAGTACAGTGGTACCATCTCAGCTCACTGAAACCTCCATCTCCCGGGTTCAAGCGATTCTAGTGCCTCGGCCTCCCTAGTACTGGGACTACAGGAGTGTGCCACTACATCCAGTTAATTTTTGTATTTTTCGTAGAGATGAAGTTTCACCATGTTGGCCAGGCTGGTCTTGAACTCCTGACCTCAAGAGTTCCACCTACTTTAGCCTCCCAAAATGCTGGGATTACAGGCGTGAGCCACTGCACCTGGCCAGGAAATACGTTTTTACATATTCAAGCTTATCTATTTCTTTCACTTTGCCAAATAAGTCATAATATACATTCTGATGTACACCCTGCTTTTTGTACTTCATAAAGTATCAAGCAATCTTTCCATATTAGGAAAAAGAAAACTACATCATTCTTTTTAATAGTTGCATAGAATATTATCTTATGACCATCACAATTTAATAAATTCCCTACTGATAAACACTTTAGTTTTCATTTTGTTTGCTATTAAAAATACTGCAAGATCCAGGCACGATGGCTCATGCCTGTAATCCCAGCACTTTGGGAGGCTAAGGTGGGTGGATCACTACAGGTCAGAAGTTCGAGACCAGCCTGGCCAACATGGCGAATCCCCGTCTCTACTAAAAACACAAAACTTAGCCAGTGTGGTGGCACGCACCTGTAGTCCCAGCTACTTTGCTCAGAAGGCTGAGGCAGGAGAATCACTTGAACTTGGGAGGCAGAAGTTGCAGT